CCCACCCCCTCCCCAGTCCCCACCCCTAGCAATTTTCCACTACTGTCAATCCTTTTCTTATAATATTATGATAATTGTTCAAGGTCCACCTATGAGTGAGAAGATGTAATACTCACTTCTTTGTTTCTGTGTGTATGTTTTTATTTATTTTATTTTTGGAGACAGGATTTCACTATGTTGCCCAGCTTGGCCTTGGACTCCTGATCTCAAGTGATCCACCTCAGATTTCCAAATTGCTGGAACTACAGGCATGAACCACTGTGCCAAGTCTGAGGACTAAGGGAAGGGGAGAATGGGGAGTTAGTGTTTGTTTATGTTTGAGTCAGAGTCTCTGTCACCCTGGCTAGAGTGCAGTAGCACGCTCATAGCCACCGCAGCCTTGACCTGCTGGGCAGGTGATCCTTCCGCCTCAGCCCTCCTAGTAGCTGGAACCATAGGCATGTGCCACCATGCTTGGCTAATTTTTTTTTTTTAATTTATTGTAGAGACAAAGTCTCACCATGTTGCTCAGGTTGGTCTAGAACCCCTGAGTTCAGACTATCCTCTCGTCTTTGTCTCCCAAAGTACTGGGATTTACAGGCGTGAGCCACCACGCCCAGCGGAAGTTAGTGTTTAATGGGTACAGGGTTTGTATTGGGGCTGATGAAAAGTTTTGGGTATAGACTGTGGTGACATTTACACAACATAGTGAATATATTTAATTTAATGGCTCCTAAGTGTACAAATGGTTAAGATGATAATTTGTGTGTGTGTGTGTGTGTGTGTGTGTGTGTGTATACACACACACATATATACACACACACCCACACTTTTTTTGTGTGTGTTGGAGTCTCACTCTATCACCCAGGCTGGAGTGCAGTCGCATGATCACAGCTACTGCAGCCTCTACCTCCTGGGCTCAGGCGATCCTTCTATCACAGCCTTTATTTTCTGTCTCAGCCAGGCGTGATGGTACCACCTGGGCGACAGAATAAAACTCTGACTCAAAATAAATAAATAAACAAACACTAACTCACCATTCCCTCCTTCCCTTAGCCCTCAGGCTAGGTACAATACACCACCACGCCTGGCTAATCTTTATTTTGTATTTTTTTGAATCGGAGTCTCTCTGTCACCCAGGCTGGAGTGCAATGGCATGCTCACAAGCCACTGTAGCCTCAACCCCTCAGGCGATCCTTCTGCCTCAGCCTTCCAAGTAGCTGTTACTATAGGCATGTGCCACCACACCCAGCTAACTTTTTTTTTTTTTTTTTTTTTTTTAGTTGGAGTCTCACTCTATTGCCCAGACTGGAGTGCAGTGGCCGCTCCCAGCCACCGCAGCCTCAATCTGCTGGGCTCCGGCGATCCTTCCGCCTCAGCCTTCTGAGTAGCCGGAATTACAGGCATGCGCTACCACGCCTGGCTGATTTTTTATTTTTTTATTGTAGAGATGAGGTCTTACCAAGTTGTCCAGGCTGGTCTCGAACCTGTGGTCTCAGGCAATCCTCTCATCTCAGCCTCCCAAAGTGCTGGGATTATAGGCATGAGC